GAGCTCGTTCGCTGCGCTCACACGTCCTGGTTGAAGTTCATTCGCTACGCTCACTCACCTTTACGGTTGGAGCTCGTTCGCTGCGCTCACTTGCCTTCAGGTTCAGGTTAGCTCGTTCGCTACGCTAACTCGCCTCCGGGTTGAAGTTCGTTCGCTGCGCTCACTCACCTTTTGGTTGCAAATTAGCTGTTGTCATAAATAAAAAAAAATAATAGTGCTGCACTCTGTTGGTAATCCTAGTAACTTTAATGTTATTGAACATCACAGAACAGAACCAACTTGTTTAATTGAAACAGCTGTTATGATTCATTAATTCCATTTAAATATGAGTACTCATTAGGTTAACATGGGAAACTCCAGAGCCACTGGGGCGGAGCCCGAGAGTCCGATCAGAATAAAAACCACTCAGTTTTCCTATTTGATGCCTAAAGAATCAGTGTGCCAAATTTCAGCCTTCTAGGTAAGTGGGAAGTGGGAGAATTAGTGATGAGTGAGTGAGTGAGTCAGTCAGTCAGTCAGTCAGTCAGTCAGTCAGTGAGGGCTTTGCCTTTTATATATATAGATACCATAGATTTCAGAATTAACCAGCAAATACGTAATCCAAATGTAATATTGCTTACTGGTTTGATGATAAATCACGATCAGCTGTATTAATTGAAGTAAACAAAAATCAGCAGTAAATGGCTTCTAATGCTATTCTTATGGAGAACATTTCACGTTATATCTAGCTTTGTGTTAAAATTGAGGGAATTTCACTATTTTTCCCGCCATCACGGGATCGAGACCTTTAATTTGAGCCATCTCCCATCTTTCTACGACTTCCCAGTCTCCCACAATTTTGACGCAAAGAATCGGCTTACGTAATTAATATATAGGTAGATTAGGAACAATTATGTGGTAGTTTTGATTTATTTTTAGCGAATTTCCTATGAAGGGATTAAGCTATTACCGCAGGTCTCATGGTAAGACCTGGACCCTGGACCGATTTACTTTTTTGTTTTGAGGTCCCCAGAGGCCAAAAAAACCATCTGCTCCAAATTCATATATATTTATACAGGGTGATTATAAATTATTGTTACACTTTTGAAACTCTTAACCCTTCCCGAACGGGTGACGGATACATCCGCCTAAGTCTTTGGCGATAAAGGACGGGTGGCGGATGTATCCGTTTATGGTTTTTGATGTTCCGGCTGGGAAGCGGAAATATCCGCCTTCTCTTCAGACAGACTGGCAGGTGCTTGAGCATTAACCAGATATTTCGCATTACCAAGGCGCCACTTTCCTGCTCTCTCCATGGCTGCGCTCACTCCCGCACTCCCCCCTCTCTCCCGTGCATACCCCTCTCCCGCGCCTACCCCTCTCCCGTGCACCCCCAACCTCTTCTACGCTCCCTTCGACGTTTCGCGCTCAACACTACGTTCTATTTATTTATTGTTTACGTCATATTGTTCTTTATTTATTGCCTACCGTTGTCATGGTCATATCTTTAAAGACGGGTGACGGATATATCAGCTGCTTTTCTACTCATACGCGGACGGGTAGCAGATATATCAGCATAGTTAAAAACGAGTAAAAAATTATTTTGACAGTATGAAGTGTTCCATTGTGTTTATTTCATGTATACTTGTATAAAAAAACACAAATAAAGAAAATTAATTTTTATTTTTTTCCTATAATTTTTTCCCGTTCTATGTCGCGATTTCGCCCGTCCGGGAAGGGTTAAATGAAAAACTATACAACCTATCATCACAGGGTGAGAATAAATTGAAAGAGAAGATCCTGAAGTTTTGTTTGTCATCACTTTGGTAATAGTTGCCATATTAGCCTCTACAGGCATTTTTAGATTTTAACTACAATTTTAAATTAATTACACCTCTCAGAATCTCAAAACTTAATTTCGCAACTATGTTTACCAAAGTGGTTTCAAACAAAACTTTAGAATCTCCTCTTTCAATTAATTCTCATCCCGTGATAATAGGTTATATAGTTTTTCATTTGTAAAGTTTAAAATGTATAACAATAATTTAGAATCACCCTGTATTTATATATGTGTCTTTTAGGAATCACTACTAAAAAATATGAAAATTATAAAAAGTTTTTGTGATGAAGGAGAGGTAAAAATACATTGATCACTTAAGCAAAAATGAACCGATTTTGATGAAATTTGGTATAAACGAGTAAACCTACATTTATTTGAACCAGTATGATCGGACTATTAGAAGGGGAGTTTAAGGAAGGGGGGGTTTATGTAGTAAAAATAGGTTTTTCCAAATTTTTATCCTAAAAACAAAAATGTTGCAATTAATTTCCAAGCCATTTTGTAGTGCTCAAAAAAACAAATAATATAATTTATTGAACCGCTGTTGTATGCCTAACGGTTACGGGAAAAAATTGTGTTTTTGGCCTCTGGGGACCTCAAAACAAAAAAGTCAATTGGTCCCGGGTCCAGGTCTCTACCATGAGTACTACGGTAATAGCTTATTCCCTATATGAGAAATTTCCTAAAAATATGAACAACCAAAACAATTCAAAATCGTATACAGAAAAAATATTATAGGCTAAGCAGACAACTCCTTAGTCCGGGGACACTATCATTTTACCTCGTTGGATTTTTTTGTACCCATGGATTTGAGCGATACATTACGCTACATGCTTGGGTAGAGTAAAAACATTTGTGAACTGTAATCCAGTCTAGTAAGTCTTTCCAATGAAGTAAGGTGAACGGAATAGCACGTGTATTCTCCACTAACATTCCACATACAATACAATGCCCGTGGAACTAGTATCAGGATATTACGGCTTATGGGATTGAACACACACACCTTACTTTGTAAGATTTGTTTCACCACCTGTATATTGATGCAGTTTTAATTAATATTGTCGTGTTATAGTACCGGTAGTTAGTGCAAAGATTGTGTAGAGATAGTCTTTTCGACACAATTAGAAATATAAAGCACGGGCTTTGGCGAATGCCTTTAAAACACTTCTTTACATATGGCTGTTTTTTTTATTTTTTATTTTGTTTGAAAGACTTCATTAAAAAAATAAAATAAAATAAATAATCAAAAAATTATAATCTTTCTTAGCTTCTTTTACTATTGTCAGGGAATATGTACTGCTAGCAGCATTCTTGCCACAAATACTGTTTCAGGTACTGTACAGTATACAAAATTTACTGACTTAGCAATACTGAACTAATCAATGTATTAAAATAGTTGAATTACAAAATTTTAAGCAAAACAAATCAAATAAAAAGTAGTTTTAGAGTTATCATTATCAGTGAAGGATAATCAATAAAAAGTTTTGCACACATCAGCAGATCAAGAATTGAAAAAATAAAAAAAAACCTACCTTGTAAGGCGAGTGTGGCATGGTCAAACCAATTTTTTTTATTTAATATTAAGTTTTCACAAGACAAGGCTAGTGCAACGTTGCCATATCGCCCGTTGACGACACTAATTAAAATACTAAACTATGTTTTCAAATCAGCTGGTATTATTAGAATTTGGCAACACCGCACTGTCCTCATTGGCTCCTTCGAAGTCACATGGTAAATAGCTCAACTGCAAACCCTCGTGGTCCCGACTGTAGCTACTTGTTAAACCTAATGTTATTTAAACAGATTTAATTGAAAATCAAATCAGGAAAATGGAAATTCGCTTAATCTGCAGGTTTGCTCTGGCAGGGGTATTTTTTTTTCTTGTTGGCGCTCAATTTATCAAAATTGTTTGTTTATTTGTGCACCATCCAAAACTTCTTCCTTTGCCAAAAATGTTATCAAGGATGACCTGTTTGTTAGCAAACTCCATGTTTTTAAATTACGAATGTTTTTAAACTCCTATACTTTTTTTCATCGTACTGACCATAAAGTAGCCGTTTTTAGTTCTTTAAATTGTCTGCAAAATCTTCGTTTTCGGGTAACTTCAAATAGGGAACCGAAAAAAAAACACATGGTACTTTTTTTTGCTGACCTCAAAATGTGTTTATAGCACATTATAAATGTTGTTTACAATTTGAAACACATAAATTACAAACATAAAACAACATGGAAGAAGTTATGTTTGTAAACATTGATGTCGACTTTGTATAACCTCAAATTATGTGGTCTAATTTTTGTATCGACCAGAAGGCTGTTTCTACAGAATGATGAAAATTATTGTTCATCACACCGAGCGAAAGTGTCTTTTTGGTTCTAAATCTTATTTCCAAGCTCAGCTGTGCCTCGCTTGTAAAACACAATTGCGTACCAAAAAGAGCCATTTTCGCTCCTAGTGATGAAAAGAAAACTACTATTACAGAGAAAACTCTGAGTGGCATAGTTTGCTTGACTATGGAAATAATTTGATTAAATTAGGCAAGTTATCAATTTTACATGAGCTATTTACATTGCACTAGTAAATACACTAAGCAACATTTGAATAGGGGAAAAATTCAATAGCCATTTGTGGCTCAGAGATGTTGCTACTATCGTCGATTTTGGAGACTGAATGTGGCTTGCATGCTCCACGGCCTTGCTGTCTTATTTTTTTGTCTATAGTTGAAACCTGCTGAATTTATATGTTGACCTGTTACTGTATAGGCCTACTATACAACTGAAATCAACTTTCATTACAATTTTAATTTTTACTCATGAACAACTTAAAATTTAGTTTTGCTTGGCAGTGACATGAATATGTACATCTAAACTAAGAAATTTAAACAATTCTGCACAAAATGTGATTTACTTCCCATCCCGGTTGAATTATGGAAAGTTATCATAGCAGTAGAGTTTATTTTGACAGCCTCTTTTCCAGCTACAAAAAAGAAGAACTTTTTGAAGTTTTGTCAGGGCGCCAGCATAGAACACTAGAACTCTTGTCAAAAAGACAACTTGTTATGTCCATACAGGATGAAAAGGTATGCATATGACCTTGCCCCATAAAAAGTGACTCTACAAACTAGTAACCAAATGTACTATTCAAGAGCTTTTACACCAATTTTCACAATAAAAACATCACAAATTGTTGCTGTATCACTTTATTTTATTTTCTCTCACTATACAATTTCTACAAGATTTAGAATCTATTTATTGCCTAACAAATAGAATTGAATATAGATAACTGGGATGTATGGTAGTAGTGACTTATAAAAACAAATTTTACTGACAGATATCCTTTTGGGGATCTAATTAACACCTTATCATGCTAGGTAGTAAGGTAGTGCATAAAAATGTTTGTCTAGACAATTTGATGTTTTAGTTGTCTCTATAATATCTTAAATGCTTTTAGATTACTTTTTATAACTCCAATCAACACTGATATCAAAATAAATTCTATTAGGCTACTACTAGAACCAAAGACGTTCTTTATAAGCTCAAGTTAAAGAGATTAATTTGGTCAGGAAATGGTTTCAGCAGAAAAAATAACTTTGGGTTTTATTATGGTACTATATTTATTAGGCATGTAGCACAAAATTGTGAACTAAAAGTTTTACAATGAGAACTTAAATACCAGTACCTATGCAGGATTTTTATTCAGCAAACAAGTGTTAGACCAGGAGTGGGATTACGAGATTTTAGACTTTGACCTCTGATTACTCTGGATATATCAACCATATCCCAATAACAAGCCCTTTTTAAGTACATTATGTAATAAAATCACGTTGGATAATACAATACTTTTATTTAATAACATTCATGCAGGATAAAACAGAATTGTTCTAAATACTCATGCACATTTTATTAGTTACGTGGAAGGACAGTTTACAACAGGTGCACTTTTCAAAGTTTTTATTTTCCACTAGAACTATCATAGATATTGATTGTTCTTGCTATTTCAAATAGCTTTAATGAGATATGTTTATATATTTTATCTCTTTTTAACATTTTAGTATGAAATTTAAATGTTAGAATGTTGACGTTGCACATAGAGATATTTCGCCAGTTTTGTATTTTTAAGACACATTCAAATTTTAAACGGACCATGACATTAGGTTCAGAGCCACGACCTGAAGATATTTCTTTAGCCAAGACCATATACTAAACTCCAATGAATTAAAACCTACTTTTCTCAGGATTGGACTAGTTACCTTCGGTTGGGTAAGTACAACAACCAATCAGCTGTCTTCTGGCTCAATGACAAATCGGAAATGCTGCGGATTAACTGGATTAGTTATGACTAGATTATCTTAGTATTCTTCTGTTATACCGACCACAAAAGGTATTTTCTGTTGTTTCCACCACAGCAGGTTAGTTTACAGTTGAACTCCAACTATTAGAATCAATTAGGACCGTAACCCATTCGTATAATTTGATTTTTATCGAAATTCAGGATAGTTTTGTAACAGAAAATAGGCAGATTTTTTACTATTTAACATTGCATAACGCGCCTGCGAATATTTCACAATTGAAACTCATGCTTTCGCCGCCATCGCGAAGGACGAGAAGATTCTCCTAGACCGCGGGAGTCCATGAACATGTCTACATAACCGCATAAGATATTCAAGATTTTGTCACGATCATGAAAAACGATGACGAGTTTCCATGATGGCAGGAGAGGAGGATACGATGAACATGTCTACACGACCACAGAAGATTTTCAAGATTTTGCCGTATTCACGGAAAAATATAACTAGTTTACATATTCTTAAATATAGTTTACATATTCTTTGAATTGATAGTTACTAGTTGACAGAAGATATTACGATGATCAAAATGGGCAAAAATCAAAATGCAGGATAAAATCATTCAGGACCAATTCTGCATAATAAGAAGTGGTATCGAGTTCATAAAATTAAACTGCACAGGCTTTCAACTTTACTGATTTATTGTAAACTAGTTCAGTACAAAACTTGTTAAGCCTTGAATAATTAGTAGTTTTTAGTCATGTACCAAAAGCGGGTATCCATTTTAGTCTAGGACCGTTACCAGTACTGGACTTCAAAACGTTAGTTGTGATTTGATTTAATTCCTTTTTATTACAAATAGGAAGTTTTCCAATTTTTAGATTAGGTACAGATAATTACTGTTTATTAAGGAGTGTTTTGTGCTGCACAGAGCATTATAAAACACACTACCACATGCTCGGTGCCACAGATTGGAACAACCCAACTAACTTCAGAGATAGCCTACAAGTAATTGCTATATATATACATATTCACATAAAATATACAAAACTTACTACTAAAATACAGTAAAAATAATCTTGTTTTTTTCTTCTATCAACAAATAGTGCTATGAACAATTTAAATTTTAAGAACTTCTAACAACAGTTTGTAAATTGACATTTTCAACCAAAAAAAATCCTTTTTTGAATACAAATAAGTTTGAAAACTACTGTAATTTGAAATGACTATTAAGGCTGCGTTTACATTGGAATCACGCTTGGGCAAGTTAAATGGTGGCGCACGCTTACGCAAGCGTGCAGTTGCCGATTGTGTGGTTATACTAGAGCACAGCAACCAAGAACAAGTGGTCACCCCCACTAGTCACAGTAGGCCTACATCAAATATCAGTCAAAATTGAGATATCAGATGATGCAGACATTTTGCTTGAAAATGGAGTTAAAATTGTATTATTAGACTCCGAACGTGTTGGGGGGAATGGGAAACTGTATGAGTCGATGTAATGTTAATAATTAATTATTTTATAAAAAACATAACTATACCGACTTAAACAGTAGGCCTATCATTTTAATAAGCCTGGAGGAGCTTAATTTTTTTTTTCATCATAACATTATTACAGGTCTATTTTGATAGAAAAATAAAATTCGATATATTTTGATTAACAAGTTAAAAGTCATTTGCAAATAGCGTACAGCAATGATAATGCTGTAACTATAAACAATTATAAAAAAGAACTGTATCAATCAACGCCTCGGTATCCATTTTGAACAATTAAACAACTTATAACACACAAATATAACACTCAAATAAAAAAAACAACAGTTATCAGATACACAACCTATGCTACTTTGTCAGTGAACCACAACAAACTGAGGCACGCTTGCTTCAAAAACAAATTTGTTACGTGATTTGAGAAGCGCAAGCTTGTCCCAGCGTCCGCTTGCTAGTGGTGAGCACTGTAACCATGACTGGTCAAGTCGCCACCAGTTTCCAGTAATCTGCCACAATTTTGTTTCAAAAGGCAAGCTTGGCCAAGCGTGCGCCACCATTTTACTTGCCCAAGCGTGTCTCCAATGTAAACGCAACCTAAAAAAACATGAACAGCACGAAACTAGAAACATGTTTATGATGACCGATAATAAAAATATTATTTAAATTGTTAGGGCTTTAAAATGTGGAAGAAACATATTTGGTAAAACTCCAGTTGGAACAAAGAAGTATTATGTCACCTAAAATATCTGAATCATCTAGTGCAGATAACCTCGCTAGCTTTGGTGTGTACACCGTTTTAAATAACTTTTCCACCTTTACTTACAAAACTTTTATATTAACATTTTACTAGCTATTTTAATAGCTTGTTAAAACTAAAACATGTTAAACGATAACTAAACAAAAAAGGTAGATTGTAAAATTGAATCACAACACAATTACTTGAGCATACAAATATGGTAATTATTACTTTTGATAGAAAATTTTCAAAGCTCACTAATATAATACTTCAAACAAAGCTGCCTAAGACTATGCAGTGAGCATAATCATATTTAACTCTCGTCCAAGATAGTTACAGTCTATATTTCACACATGCTAAACAACTTGGTATTCACATTCAATTAATGGTTTTAATGATGTGATTTGTACTCTAGATAGGTAGTCATTTTATGATCCATAGATGTTGGGATGCTCAGACAAATATTATAAAATAATTTAACATAGTATAATAACAGTTTGAAATATTCACAATAATAACACATTGAAGGCTTTTGGTTCGAACACATCAATAGTCACATATTGGGATTTCAGAATACTTTAAAGTTCAAACTAAAAGAAAATCAGGTGAAAGAATGTACAGTATATACCTATATATAGCATTTACAATGGGTGTTTATTTAAGTAAGGGTTGTCTTTGCGGATAGCTCCGTAGTTCATGTGTATGCCACTTACTGGCATCATTGATGAATAGAAGGATGCCGTTTGCAGCTTTGTAGCTGATGTGTACGCTTTGCTGTGTTCTTAGAACATTTTCAAAATTATTGATGAATCTCCCACTGCATGCAAGTTAGGGTCAGTTAAATGTTTTTTTGACCTCTAGAAATGTATCCAATGCCGACATTGATCGCCAGATGACTGAAGGTTACGGGCCTAATGCAATGAGTACGAGAGTAAAGTGCGGGAATGGGATATGAATAGTAAAAATGGCTATGAAAACTTTGTTATTTGTGTTCTTAACTGAGAGGAGTCTGGGTACCCACTCTAAGTCTCCCCATTTTAAAACACCCTAACCCATTTGCAGATCAATAAAAACGTAAAATGCAGATTTTACCCTCTATAATTGTATTTGGACCATAAACTTCATTCATCTGGTGATGAATGTCTGCAGCAGATATATTTCTTCAAGTATCAAATCAAATCACTTTCCTTATCTCGCATGTGGCAGGAGATTCAATAATTAACACATTCGATGCGGCGGGTCCACCGGTGAACCCCCCGCGTCTCAGCTGAGGAGCGGGGGGTCCACGGGTGGGGGAGCGCGCATTGCATTGTTTGCCGGATCAGTGTGGTTCAGCCATTTGTCGGGGAACGTTGTAATCTTTACCAGCCTGTAGCTTATAATGCGAGCTTTATTCTGGTGTAGGTTGGTACAAAAATTGCCCGTAAAATCCCGTCTGGCAATGCTTTTGTCCCGTTTCGGGGATTTTCTCAGTTCGAGCCGTATTACAAAGACTCGAGTTATTGATCCAGGCAGTGCTGCTACCTTTGGGTGTTTCAGTGAACTACGTCCACTTTCGGAGTAACGCAGAACAATCACCACTGCTCTTTTGTGATTCGTCTTACTGAGATATTTCAATACCAATAGCGATCGCTGATTCAGTTAGCGCGTCGGGGCTCCGCCCGGGCCTCGCCGCCATTGGCGAGCGCCTGTTTAAAGGTTTGCCGCAGCGAATGTGTTAAAAAAAAATTCTAGACACACAGCCCAGCCAAGTGTACAACATGTCAGCTACAGACGTTCAACTGGCACCGTTCTGTTCACAAATTATGTTAGTAAGCGGGGAGGAGCCTTGTTGTGGTGTACACGCCAACTAAGAAGCTATACACACAAATGCCCCTTACTTAAAAACAACCCTCTTAAAACAACTTATTTAAATTAATCATTCACATTGAACAAATCCATACATAAATTAAACTAATTCTAAAATTTTAATTATACCTTGGCTATTTGCAGCAACAACCACATTTGAGTGTTGCCGCCAGCATACTGCCGATACAAACTCATTTACGTCATCTTCTTTCCTACTATTTTCTAACACACTCCTAACAGCATCAAATTTGAAGCTAAATAGTTGTTTGGTTAGACCTTTATAATAAACATAAAGTGCATTGTTTTCTGAACCACATGCAATATAATCACCATCAGTTGCTAGCCCAACAAAGTTTTTCTCATTAGTGTGGCCAACAAATGAGCGTAAACAGTGATTACTGTTAACATTCCACATTTTAAGTTGACTGTCAGTTGAAGCAGAAACAATATCTTCTCTGTTCAAGAACTTAACATACGACACAGCCTTTCTATGACCTTTGAATATGGATAGAGCTTCTTTCATATTCCTTAAATCGTAGTAATGAACACAATGATCTGCGGATCCGAATGCGAGGTGGCAGGAGCTGCGAGGATTGAACTTAACACAACAAACATTGGCTTTAGCTTCAAGAGAGGCTACGGAATGATCTAAGTTAAGAGACCAAAGTTTGACTCTTGCATCATCAGAACCAGATGCGATCAATCTAGTGTCAACATCATTAAAATCCACACTCCAACAACGTTTCTCGTGTTCCTGAAAGGTTTTGGTTTTTTGACCAGTTGAAGCATCCCACACAGTCACAGTACCCTCATAGTCACTGCTTGCTAAAGTACCTTTGTGGTAGGAATTCCAACTAATACAAGATATTTTGGAATTTGAAACCATTTCTATACAAGGATAATGAATATCAACAGTATCTCTAATAACAGCCCCATAATCAAAGACTTTGATACGTTTTGTAACTCCGGCTATAGCGAAGAGTTCATTATCTTTATCAAACTCGATACTTGAAACAATTGTTGAGTTGTTAAAAATGTCACTGGAATAGTTGAGAGTTGCAAGAGGCCGCAATGTGTTGTAACGAGAGAATTTCACTAAGTTTTCACGAAACAGATCCAAACCCACAGCAGTAGAGACATTTCCTTCAGTACACTTCTCACTTTTGCCAAACATCAACTCTTTTGCCCTTGTCGCTATGTAACATTGAACAAAATCGTCAAAATGAGAATGCATACGTTTTCTCCGCAAGGAAAAAGATGAAATAGTTGAGTCAATGCTTTTTTGACTACCACTAAAATTTTCTTGGAGAGGAACATCTTTTGCATCGGATGATTCTTCTTTACAGCCAGTATCTGACATGACAACATCAGAGCTATCGGTACCACTATCTGCCTCAAACTGGGAACGTTTAGTAGAAACTTCTTTCAAGATTCCTTCAACTTCTTCCATATCCTTCTTAATAACTGCCACTTCTTTTTGAAGCTGATTTAACTGAGTTTCTTTTTGCTTTAATAGATGTTTTAAAAACTCTTGAAGTAGTTTATTTTGAGCAGCACAAGATTCTGCCTCTAGTAAATGTTTTCGCTGAGTTAGTACTTGCAGCATTACATTTACATCAGGCAGAGATAGATTGTTTGACTCTGTAGCCACAAATTCTCTCAACAATCCATCAGAGGACCTGACATCCAGATCTCTACTCGTTCCCATCTCTCCCATAGTCTTCATCCGTGTCTTGTACTTTGATACCAGCTCGTTTAATATAAAGTTTGGAAATATATGATCCTGTCCAGATAGGGAAAAACTGCATTTTGGACATCTTCCACTATTTTCAAGGGATTTCGATATACAACGATGACAAAATGTATGACCGCACCTGGTTATATACGCCTCTTCAATGAGCTCAAAGCAAATGGGACAGAGAAAATCGTTGGTTTTATCTTCAAACGAGCCACCGATGCCATTAAACACAGCTGGGTGTTGTCTTTTCATTGGCCTCACTCGCTGAGGAGTTGCTATGTGACTCAGGTTGAACGAAGCACTGCCTCGACCACTTGCCATTATTATTAGTTTAACTTAACAGAGGGAACCCCAGCCTCGCCTGAAACATTCAACAGTTTTGTCACTTTTTGTTAATCCAACTGATTTATATATATACAGGGTGTTTCAGAATTTGTGTTGGATATTTTAGGGTATAGAAACAAACCTGAGTAAGAAACAAATCCAAATATCATATTTAAATTGACCGGAAGTCCTTAGTTACTCACACAGCCGCCATTTTGTTTTTTCGCTGTTTAATTTTTTTCTAAAACGTGGTAAGAGATACGAAATTGAAACTTTGCAAAACCATTTATAACAACTAGACAATACTACGAAAAAATTATGAACATTTTTAAAATTCATAAAACAAAATGGCGGCCATTTAAAATTTTGTTTCTTAAATAACTCAAAACCCGTTGAGTTTACAAAAAAATTACAAGAATAACTTTTTTAAGAAAATTTAATTACAAATCGATTGACACCTTAAACTTTAAGATTGGATGAATATTAACTGATATATGGCAGCTTTAGTAATACGTGACCGCTGGAGGTTAGATGTAGTGCATGCCAAGGCATGCGGACTAAGTCTGCCACAACAATGCAACAATCTCCGTCCCCTTGCAAGTTATTTTTAAACGATTTTAGATTATTTCAAACCATAACAAAATATTACATTACCCTAAAAGTGTTTTTTTTTTCAATTATCAATCATTAGTATGGCTTAAAAATTGCACACCATTTTACTGTCTTTAAAATTCATACTAAACCTTTTACAGTAAGAGTACACGTTAAAAGTGAATGTAAAAGTTAGAGGAACTGACTACATTGAATATTCAATAATATCTTCAGACAACGATACAATCAGCTGATTATTTTGTAAACAAGTATTTTGACTTTCAACACAGCTGATTTTTTAAAAGGTTTGGGATGGGTGTTTAGTGTGAATTTGAAAGACAGTAAAAAGGTGTGCAATTTTTAAGCCATACTAATGATTGATAATTGTTAAAAAAAACACTTTTGGGGTGATGTAATATTTTGTTATTGTTTGAAATAATCTAAAATCGTTTAAAAATAACTTGCAAAGCGGACGGAGATTGTTGCATTGTTGTGGCAGACTTAGGCCGCATGCCTTGGCATGCACTACATCTAACCTCCAGCGGTCACATATTACTAAAGCTGCCATATCTCAGTTAATATTCATCCAATCTTAAAGTTTAAGGAGTCAATCGATTTGTAATTAAATTTTCTTAAAAAAGTTATTCTTGTAAATTTTTTGTAAACTCAACGGGTTTTGAGTTATTTAAGAAACAAAATTTTAAATGGCCGCCATTTTGTTTTATGAATTTTAAAAATGTTCATAATTTTTTCATAGTTTTGTCTAGTTGTCATAAATGTTTTTGCAAAGTTTCAATTTTGTATCTCTTACCACTTTTTAGAAAACAATTAATAAGCACAAAAAAAAAAATGGCGGCTGTGTGAGTAACTAAGGACTGTCGGTCAATTTAAATATGATATTTGGATTTGTTTCTTACCCAGGACCAATACCCTAAAATATCCGACACAAATTCTGAAACACCCTGTATATGTACCAAACTTTAATGAAAATTATCGTGTGATCGTAATAACAAATCAACACATATTTATAATGAAAATTAAAAAAATAATAACATCTGAAATAAAACCATTGGATGTTTCAAGGCAGGCAAGTATAACAAATAAGTAATATTTATAAATAAATATAAAATATAACTAATCAAATCCCAAGTTCAATTTACAGAGAAACATAAATATTGTACAAACCATTGATACAAAGTCATGGTTACGTTTATTTTATGGCCTTATTATTGTTACCAGCTGAGTTATGAAGTTATGAATCATCTGCTATTTGGTTTGTTTACATTATTGTTTAGTTTTTGTAAATAAATAGTTTTTGGTTGAGTTTACTTAAAATGAGTTTTAATAATTAATCAGTTTAATTTTATTTAATGACAGGTTAGTTATAGTTTTATCAATAGCAACACAAATTTGTTTGCCATCTACCGGATTATCAAGTCAACTGTTATACTTGCACCTTATTTTTGTTATTGGATGACAAACAATTGAATAGGTAACTGTTAATTTTAAAAAGTTAGCTGACCCAAGCGAATCGTTCACACTGTATCCTCCACAAATCCCACTTAATAGAACACACAGCATTACCGTCTTGTTTGTGCACCTTTATTTAAGGTATAAGTTGTAGTAAGAAATAAGGTGTGTGTTTACATTTTTAGATTATTTATTTCTTTTCAAAACATAATGTGATAGTATATTACGTTACTAGTAAATGGTGTTTTACCATACGAGAACGACATTTATATGGGACATAACATAAAAATATTTGTATATTCCAGAAAATAAAATAGGCTGTTGCAATTAGCTGTTTATTTTGTCAGCTGACTAAGTGCATGTTTAAAGTACATTACGTTACTTTTCCAAGTGTAGGCACGGCAAAGGGCAACTTTCCAGCCCATCAACACAGATGGAAAAGTACCTGTTTCTGTGTAGTATGATGTAAATGTATATATAGGTTTATAGGACCCCTTTTTAACACTATGTTTGAAGTGATGATATGGTCATCCGTTATTGGCTTTGTTTTATACCTAAACGTAGTTGTCACCGTGAGATCGAACTCTTGAAAACGCCAATCACCCTTACAACAGACCATTTGAAAAAAACAGGGTCTGGCACGTAAATCCTTCCTTTGATGGTGTCCATCCCTTTGCCTTATTGTTATGCAAAGACAGCTTTATGGAAAATTGTTTCTTAATCCTCTTGAAAGGATTAGGTGTACGTCATATTGCGTAGTTTGATGATAGTCTGACCAGAGTCAGTGAATTATGCTATGAGAGTGTGGTTGCCCAAGTGAGCCAAATCCACCAGTGACCAATCTTAAGCCATTAATTACGCCCTGCTTGCCATCTATGTTCTTACATTTTAAACTTGATAACAGTGTTCTTTTTAGCATGGGTTTATGAGGTGACGAATGTGAATGGCTTAATGGGTTCAACAATTCCAATGGATTGGATGTGATGTTCCAATCGATCAGTTTTAGTCTTTCCATAGATAACCGAATCCGAACTAAGATGAACCATTTTCTGTACAGGAAATTAATTAAAAAAAACCACAATCATGCATTGTGCTACAATCATAAATTGTTTACCACAATACAGCTCTTGAATAAAATTAGTTGATAGATAATTCATTCCATTTCTGTAAAGTTTACGATAGAAATGACGTCGTAGTCACAGTGGAAATATTTCGGAATTTCAATCAATAAGTTGGGGTATTCTGGTAAAATATCAAAACCACCGTTTCCTAATTCTATCAAAAATTCCATGAAATCTGGAATTCACATTTGTTTTCACTATTTTTTAGTTGGGACTTTTTTAATTATCTGTGAATTTGCAAGTCCTCTGTGTGAGTGAGACGTAAGATAGTCTAAGATAGTGCTCCATTGTTGTGGAGCTATTTAAACCCTACATATAACTTTTTCTTTTCTTAGATATAGATTTTTGTGTTTTGTGATAGGTTTGTATCACCACTTGACTGCTATACAGTGCATACTTGACTGTTACTCTCTGTTTTGTAATCCAACCCAGGTTGGGTGTTGTGTATTGTTCAATCAATCAATCAATCAATCAAAATAACTATAATAATTGTTGTGTTAGTTGTAATGTGTTAGTTAGGTTTTTTCACCTGAGGACAGGATCAGATTTCGGATCCCGAAACGTTGTTTGTATTGCATGTTACGTTTGTGATGGAAAATGTCTGCAATAAACCTTAAAACAACAGTTCTTTATATTGTAACAATTCAAGCATTTGGCTTGCAACATCGCCAAAAGTTGTAAACTTGAATAGAGAACAAGAAAGTATGAGTTCTCTATTCAACGTAAGGAAGTGAGTACAGGTCCTTTTGTGGGGATTATTTTTTTCAAATCCAAAATACTGTAAAGTATAAAATATGTACCTAGTAATTAAATTAGGTGAAATAAACAAAAATGTACGTTTAGCTTTTTTTAAATCTTAACCCTTCCTGAGCATTGGCCGTATATATACGCAACTCAATCTGAAGGTCACGAGCATATACATGCCAAAACATGGAGCCGTCATTCAGGTATTTTAAAGTTGTTTCTTGGCTGTCATATATAAGCGGTATTAAAGTGCTGCAAGGTATTGAACATTATGATGAAGACCATATGGATATACATTATGAGAAAAGTAGCTTTCATGCTAGTACACCTTATGCTGTAAATAAATGTTATGAAAACTATAGACAGGGTTGGTACTAATTTGGTAAATAAAATTCCCTGACTTTTCCAGGTTTTCCAGACTGATGTTATACTTTTTCCAGGTATAACGTAAGTCGATATCGACTAGGCCTAATCAAAATCAAGAAATATTAGAAAAAATGTAAATATTTAACTTATTTAATCACTCCCAAATACAAAACTTGTTTCAAACTATATACATATCGATTCCTCCCGTGTACTGATAACTAACTATCAATATAAAAATACGCATCAGTGCTTATGTTGTTCTTTTTGCCATTAGTCATCACCCTGACACATGTTTAGAGCAAAACGTAGCATATCTGTAAAAAAGGTAGTCTTTCAGGAGAAATTCCAGATTTTTTTCATAATTCCCTGACTTTTCCAGGTTTTCCCTGACCGTACCAACCCTGATACAGTTAACGATAGGCCTGGGCCTTCTGGCAATAGCTTTACTCAGAAGACAGGGGAGTGTAACAAACCTAAGGAACTGAATGTAATTTTTCAATGAAGTGGCGACCATACAAAGTAGGTATTTTAAGCCAAGTATGAATGGAGATGAGTGGCGCCATCTTGTAGTCTTGTTAGTGACTAAGGCCGACTTATTCCTTAGACACAGCTGTTAATTAATAGCCCATACAGCTAATGGCAACTAAGGGGCCTACAGTTTATAGTGGAATCCGAACCACATTTTTGCCTTGGTATATACGAATTGGTCTAATTTTCAGGATAGTACTGCAGAGTAACTGCAGAGGGAGGGTAGTACTCCCTCGTGCGGACGTTAATCCACACCAGGGAGTATCGCATCCACAGTGCATTCCTATAAATATCCACAATTCGTAACCTCCTAGTAGCTGGATTACAGGACGACGCCACTCGTCCCAGTTAACTAACTCATGGGTAAGATGTTAGTATTGTTGGTTGTGGTAGGCCTACAACAATGTCTGATGACGAAAATGCTTTTTGAATTAAACAATGAAGTTAGGGATAGGCCTATGCATTCACATCAGGACGAAACACAGAAAAGAAGGACTATAACGAATCTAAGGAAAAGATTTGAGTAGGTCTAATGTACCAAATGTTAGTAGTGTTCATTCTGGTGAGCCTATATCACAAGATGAAGATGAACTAATCGATGAATTTGAAGAAATTCCAAGGGGACAGACAAAAAAAGGAGAGTAAGAAATCTGAGGGACAGGGTGATGACTAAACCAATAAATGTTCTAGGTCTATTTCTAATCCAAGAATATTAACACACATCTTGTTTCAACAAACTCTATTTCAAAACTAAACCAATGTTTACAAAAATCATCTGTTAACAAAACATATTTAAACACAAATAAATCATATGACTAAAAGAACAGACTTAATACAACGTCCCGCCTCAAGATGTCTACTTCTTCAACTTCAGTCAAGAAGTGAAAATCTCGACTGACCGAGATCTAAAAATAAGGTTTTTAGTCAATCATATGAAAGATATTTGTCAGGCCTTTTAAAACCCGAGCTCAAACATAACCGTTGATGAGAGTACCATATCATTCAAGGGGGTGATTAAGTTTAAAGTCTACAATCCAGACAAGCCTAAGTTTGGCTTGACTAGTCTTAAGTTTGTAATCTCTGACTCTGAGAATACAATTATAACTTTAGCGCTAATTGCGGTAAAGTTGACGGAAACAACTCTGATGCAGAAAACCCCGATACAGAACTTCTGAAAACTATTTACTCAAACTGTAGTAAAATTGTGTGACTCGTAAGTGAAAGATCCTACCAATCCCCCACTGGCCACCATTGTCTTCGTAGACAGATACTACTACTACAGCCCAGAGCTTGCAGAAGAACGTCAAAAATGAAAAATGTTTGGAACAGGCACTGCGATGGCTAGTGCATTACTTAGCAAGCATTACTACTTGGGACGTATAAATATGCCGCAACAATTTTAGTCCTAAAACTTGTAAAAAAATTATTTGGAATTTTAAAAAGTGTCCATAATTTTATTATATTATTATTATTTATGTTATTACTATTACCATTTAATATTATTATATTGTATTTTACATGAGATTTTTAGACGTATTTATAATTTAGTTTCTTAAATGATTTACACAAATTTGTCTAACCTCTTTGATTGCTTGACAAAAAAAATTGAACAAATTTTTGTTTGTATTTAATTACTGTTGTTGGAATTTAACTATTCCTAATTAATATTATTTCTTTTTTTCCTTTTTTTCCCTTCATTTTAAGAAATTTACTAAGCTCTTAAATGTTTTTATGTTTTATTAATAGATAGCGTAAAAGAAAAAAAAGTTAAGTTAATTTATCATTTTAGTTTTTACATCTTCTAGATACTTAATTCTATACTATATTGTATTGTAGATGTGTAGTATGTATGTATATAACGTAGGCCTATACATAGGCTGATGTGTTGACTTTGTCAATGATTTGTGAAAATCCAAAAGACAAATAAATGATATGATTGATTGATTGATTGATCATAATCAACTTAAACCATCAGATAGAAGTGGGAAAACATAAAAATTTCTAAATAACTTTTTGGGCTCCAACCAAAAATTATTGATCGCAGAGTGAGTAGGGCTTCGCCCTGCAGCTGCCGCTCGGGAAGGGTTAGTAAAAGTTTGTATATTAGTTCTCCACAAAAAATTGTGATTTTAAACATTGAGACCAACCGAATTGTCATCATAAAATCCCTATACCTATACAATTTCCCATAAGCTTTAGAAGAAATGGTTGTGCACAAAAACAATAATGAACTGAAACTTAACTTAGATTACATAAATTCGGATTTCCGTGGATGTAACAACCTATATAACCGCTGGAGTCTTCAATTAAACCTCCAGCACTTTGAAGAACAATTTTTTACCGCATACAAGAATATTATCTCTGCCCCATTATTATTCATTATTATTCCATTATAATGTGGAAATTGATTCAAAACTACAAGCTTATTCCTACTTTCTGATCAGACTAGCTTTTTGTAGTACACATCAATAAGTCACAAGGCCAAACCTTCCAAATAGGCCTAGCTGGGTAATAGCCTACTTAGGTAAACTAGTATTTAGCCTACTCATTTAAAGGTAATTGATTGATTGATTTAGCAGCTAGTTTAAACTCCAGAAGAGAACCAATTGATAAAAATAACAATCCAAAAGAATGTTCGTCCTAAATAAAAAAATTTGGGTACAGCTAAGTTATATTATGAAACATAGATAATTTGTTTATTAGTTTGTTTTATTTATGATATGACAATAATTTAATTTTATATCTGGGTTTTTGGGGGCTTGGAAAAAATTACAAGCTTTGCTCGAAATGTGGAATTTTTTTATGACAATAAAGTGATATTGGTTATAATTATCTGGTCCAACACATAGGCTACAGCATACTCAAGCTCAATAATTCAAAATTGGAGGGTCCAGCAAATAATTGAATTATGAAGAGGTTTGATTTATTGGGGGAAAAAGAAACCATTTGAATTATTAAGAGTACTTTTTATAATGAAAAAGGTTCCTTTTGCAACTATGTATGATGTCTTGGTCAAGTGACAGCTTGTTTTTGGAAGAAAAATTTGAAGTTTCTTGATAGCATATTCAGATAAAAATTGAAGGAGCGTTTTAGAGTAGACTGTACTTACATTTGAATTAATCTGCTCAAGTTTCCACCCTGTTCTTCATTAAACTTTTGACCAGCAGGAGTCAACTCAACAGCTGAATCATTCTCGCTATCATAATAAGCTCCAAGCACTAACCCTTTCTGAAAAAGAAAACAAATTTTTGTTTTGCAGTGTTACCATAATGACACTGAGCTTCTTTCTTCCAAATGACATGTTATATAGCCTTCAGGCTATTTAAACAGTATTATTTTAACATATAATCCCACACATTGCTTTAAAAAAAAAGACTACCTGTATGCTGCCAAGGCTTGAATGCAAAAGAGATCTTTTTATGAAATGACAATTACAACAGTAGAAGAGCAACCCACGGCCACCTTAAGGAAGGTTCCCAAAAGGGGTCAGTTGCGGGGACACCATTTGGGGCTTTGTGGGAAAAACGCCACAAAGGATTGGAGCACCTGAATTGAAAATATTAGAAAATATTATTGGTATACTCTACGAGAAAAATGTGGCAGTGAAGGCACAGACAACTGGTGTGGCTTAAGCTGGACCCGTCACGGCCCCCGCTTCCAAAGCCAAGGACGAAGGCAATCTTGGTGAAGCCCTCAGGGGGGGGGGAGATTATTTGGTGCAGTCTTGGGTGTAATCAAGGCCAAAGCTAAGCTGGAGCAGATCAATACAATTATACAGTAGACCTATAACTTAATCTACTGTACAATTGCATCAGTACAAAAACAAACCCGGAACAAGGAATTCCTCTTTGAACTGGGTAAGTCAAAATACGTACACAAGTGTCATTTCTGGGGCCGCTCTAGGTTTCGTAAGTAGCCCAGAATACAAGTTAAATATATTATAGAACCATACTTGGGAATAACGAATAGAAATTCTAACGAATAGCGCTATTCGTTCGTTTTTTTGGCTAACTTCTATTTTATTCGTTAGTTTTTAAAAAGAGCTGGAAATAACTTCTACTCAGTTAGTTTAATAGACAACGAATAGATAATATATTCGCTAGTTTTAAATCGTTAGCTTTTCTGGTCAGGCGAAAGTATTTCCAGTACGGGTTATTTATTTTACGTGTTCAGTGAGGGTTGCGTACTTGAGAGGTCAGCACCCTTGTGACAAACAACATGGGGGGAGGGGAAAGAGAAAGTCAAAGTCCAGTCGCTTTGGTATGCAGCGTACCCGGGGGTGGAGCCAATGGCAGCCAATAACAATACCCCAAGCACCGAAGGGTGGGAAGGGGGAATGTTTGTTTGGCGATTGATATGTACTGTAATCTCAAGTGTCAAAACAATGTCTTCACTTCAGTCGATGTTCAATATCTGACCGTGACAGGTGTTAATTTTTTGTTAGTTTCTTAGTTGTCTTGTTGTTATATATATTTTAGTGATAGTTAAATATTTTAAATACATAAGTTATTAAGGTGAACAGTTTTAGTTAAGTAGGAGTAGATTAATAATATTTGTTTGCAATGGCGGGCGAGTGTGATATCAGGTGACCAATCTTAAGTGACATATTTCAACAAGTTGAAACAATGAAAAGGGTGGAAACGCGTTAAAATGTTTATTGTGTTTGTACCCAAAACAAAAATGATTAAAGCATCTGTCACAAGTGCTTTGAGGTAAGTGGAGAAAAAGTATGATGATCTCGTTTTTAACTTGAAGTGGAATAGGCCTATATATTTTTTTAATTAATATAATTTTTATTTTTTAGTACAGTTATAGTGTATTTCTCAATGTGTTTCCCATGCTCTTTTAAACTTTATCTCGCCACAAATAGGCCACTTTTAAATTTAGTAGTAAACTGTACTTTTATCACACTGGAAAAACTACTTCAACAGACTTTAAAATATCAACTGATATTTTGTAATCCATTAATTACTGTCCATTAATTGTTGTACAATAAATTTTAGAGTAAAATCTCAGCTAGGCCTAATTGAACATCAAAAAACTGTGTTTTACCTAACCGGGAACTTCAGTTGTAACTTATGTTTGTGTATCGAAAGTAATGTTTATGTCAGGAAAGGTGAGATGATCACTATTTGTTTTTGTCTTTTGAACTATTGAAAACAGAGTGATGACAAGTTTTTGTATCACCTTTGTCGGGGAAATAAATATGTGCACTCGAGTTTGAGCCTAAATATATCTGAGATGAATTATCCGATTTTGTTGAAACAAAAATTAAATATAAGCTGGTTTAAATACATTTTACGTGGTGTCAATTTAAAAAATTTCCGTTTACCAGAAAAATTTATATAGGCCTAGTTAAAAGATCCTAAAATGTACCGGTTTTTAAGAAACTCTGCACCAACACTGAAGTTTAAAATTTATTTGTAAACAAACCACTGAGCCAATCTTTCTGAAATTTGTATGGCTTATTGGTAGGTTCATTGTTAACATTTCCATGCATTTTAAAAATGTTATTCACAATAGCTTTTATGCTGCTGTTAATTTTTAAAACGTATGCTAACATCGTTAATAAGACACTGAAAATTTTGTTCAAAATACCATCGTGTTTGCCGTGACACAAGTACCTGGGTGTGGTATTGCACCGAAATCTGCAATGGGGGCCACAACTCCAAAAGGTCATTGATCGAGGTAAGTGGTCACTCATGGCTTGCAGACGGATGGTGGGAGGAACCTGGGGGCTCAAGCCGGTGCTCATGCACTGGCTATTTGTCTCCGTGGTAAGGCCCGCCATGACATATGGCTCACTCGTGTGGTGGCCCAAGATGGACTCGGTGTCGGCGGTGAGAGATCTGGCTGCCGTCCAAAGACTCGCCTGTCTCATCATCACTGGTGCAATGAGCAGCTGTCCGGGAGTCTCACTGGACTGCCATCTCAACCTCACTCCGATTGACCTGCATGTCAAGGTCACTGCGAGGAGGACCGCCTACAGACTCCAGTGTGAAAACCTTTGGTTGGATGTTGGAGGATCCCGAGGTCACTCTCGGATCACTCAGCAGGTAAGAGGGGAGGTAATGGACATGCCCTCGGACCACATGCCGACTCGATTCTACTTCGCCAGACCATTCACTGTCCTTCTTCCGTCCAGGGATGAGTGGATGTACGGTGGGAATCCTCTTCCACAAGGCGACCTTGAATGGTATACTGATGGTTCAAAGGTAAGAAGTGGGACTGGGACTGGAATTCATGGAGTGCAGAACGGGGTGGACATTTTTCTTCCTATGGGCACTCACCCAACTGTGTTCCAGGCCGAAATGACTGCGATAATGGTATGTGCTAAGGAAAACCTGAGGCTAGGCTTCAGGGACATCAACATTTCCATTTTTACAGACAGCCGAGGCTGCGCCTGCGCTCAAAGCGCTCGACTCCTATGAATTCAATTCTAAGGTGGTCTGGGACTGCCTTTCTGCGGTATGTGACCTGGGCAGGCGCAACAAGGTAACACTCTGTTGAGTTCCTGGGCACTCAGGGATAGAAGGGAATGAGGTGGCTCATCCAGGCGAGGCTGAGATGGTATCTCAGCTGACGTTCTTAAAATGGGTCAATATTTTGTGTGACCCATAAGCCTATACCGGTAATTTTCAAACAAACATCATCCATAAATAAGCAAACTTTTGCCTACAGCAGTTTACTTAAATATTTGCCCTCAATAAGGATAACTTGGGTACACTTCCATATCTGTTGGCACAAACGAATGTAATATTGATTATTTGATTGTCTCATTTGATATATCAATGGATATTTTCATTCGATTGTTTGTGCCAACAGATATGGAAGTGTACCCGATAACTTAACATGGGATTTTAACAGTTGTTTGCTTATTTTTCCAGAACTAGGCCTACTTAGGCACAACCTAGGAAATTAAAAGGCTAAATGAAATAATTATTAGCCTACTATAAACATTGGCCTATTCTACCTACAGCTTTAAGTTGAAGTTAATTTATATTTGATTTTTTAGCTTTGACTTACTGAGTTATAAGTCAGAATAAAAATAAGTAGGCTGCCTACAAACCGTTAGCAAAAACAGTCTGGAAGTTGCATAAATTAATGAGTCGGTTCATTATAAGTTATAACCTAACCTTTACCTTCCTAATCTAAGTAACCTCACTTCAAAACACTTAATACAGTCACGAATCCGCATAAAACCCGACCTACCTTCCTCACATGCCTAAATAATAACTGATTATTTGGTTTCAAAACGAATTGATTTGATTTCATTCCGCATTAGATCAAGTATAAACAGTTGTTTGCTCTTCTCACTCAGTCCTCACTCCTCACTAAGTACGGACCCGTCCAGACCATATATTACCATTACCTTCAGTACCGCTCAATTATCCTTAAATTTGTAATCCTAACCTTCGTTTTACGGCCACTAAGGAATCTCTCCGACAAAAACTGATTGCATTCGTGGATTCAGCGTTTAAAATGTACTGTAAGTAGACATATAAAAATTGCATCATATCCCAGTGTAAGTACAGTAAATATTTGCCGGCCTATTTAATGGAGAGGATTGGATTACTGGAACTTGATTTCGTCAAATCCATCCATACCGCCGCCACTAACCATTTCACTTAGGCTAATAATAGTAGTTGCATACAGCTTAGCTAAGTTATCTTGTTTCCCGAACGTTCATTATGCTGAAATTAATAAGTTTGCGTTAGGCCTACCTAAATAACCTATTGATTGTTAGTGTGAGTCTAATAACTTAAAATCACTTACAATTTACATAAATTTAATAGTTATAAGTTATCAACATCATGTACCTGGGGAGTAATATAGGGGGGGAAACCAGCAATAAGTTGTGCGTGCGCCCTTTCAAATCCTTTCAAATCTTTTTCCCCAATACGGCCAGCAATAGATTTTATCGGGCGCGCGCACTACTTATTGCTGGTTTTACCCCCCCTAAATTACTCCCCAGGTACATGATATTGATACTGTCGTGTCCGTTGAAGTGTCCTCTATCTGTTGGCATCGTCGTTATTATTGCTCGCGGACGTTTTTTTCCGCAATACGGCCAGCAATAGATTTTAAAGGGCGCGCGCACAACTTATTGCTGGTTTTACCCCCCCCCCCCCTATATTACTCCCGAGGTACATTATATTGATACTGTCGTGTCCGTTGAAGTGTCCTCTATCTGTTGGCATCATCGTTAATATTGCTTGCGGAC